TTTATCCCATACTTTATTACCCCGGACTTAATCGGCTAAAATATACGATACATTGTAAAAACATTCTTAACATAATCCTAACGAATACACTGTTTCCCACACTACAGATCGTTACACTCTGACGTGATAACATTGGAGTGCGTTTCTGCTTCCCTAAGACAAATTACAATAAGTGATGTGACTAGGTTAAGTACAAAAATCCAATTCAACGTACCATATTATAGCCGCGTGATCTTAAGTTGTACGTTACTCTTGCAATGTGTTCGAGTAATTAATTGTTTAACGTCCACTTTTGAGAACAGTCCTTCAAGCAATTTGAATTGCTTCCTCAAAATTTTCTCCGGTCTGCGTTTTCTCACAGAACTCCGAGTTATTTTGTGGGTAACCAAAAATTTCCATACTTTGTGAAAAACTACGAATTTTCATATGACATTGGGGAGACATTGCACTAAAATCCGAGGTTATATATGAATTATGTGAAAAAAATCAACACAACTTTGACGCGTATAAAGAACCTCTATACATGAAATAACGTTTTTGGAACTGAGTGGCATCAACTGATGCAGTAATGAGTTTCCTGCTGAAGTTCCAGATTTGTCTTGGTAATTAGTTCATATACTCAACAAAACGTGCCACGCTTTACTTCAAAAAAATACTCTAAGTTCTCTCATTATGCTCAATTTTCACATATAGTTCCTCTTTCTAATTAATTTTCAAAAACTAACCATGCAAGTCCTAAAACTTTTCGAACATCCAGCATTAAAAAATCTCACACTTACAAAGTAACAGTTGTTTCTTGGTTGTCTTAAAATTTTCTAGGTTTTGCTTATAGTTTATTGTTGGAAAAACAATGAACGGAAAATATGAACCAAAGAATCTCATCGACGTAATCAAAGTAGTCTTCTTTCGAAATACTCTTGACGTCTAGCGTTTCAATTATGCACCTCTGTAGTCAGAAGGTTAACGTCATGTACTTGGGAATGCATTTGTAGTTACTCTAACATGTACGTACAAGTGCGTGTAGTAGATTCAGTTTCAGTTTGGAAAGGACAGGAGGCTTGATGGCCTGTGTTAGTCCTGGCAATTGTGTTCTCTCAGTTGATCCAACTTTCTTTTGAAAGAATCTACAGATAGAGCTTCAACCACGTGTTGAGGTAATGAATTCCACTCGTTGATGATTCGGTGGGAAAGTCGATAATCAGCCGACAAGTAATTTGTTCTGGGCTTGTGAACTTTTTTGGAGTGTCGTCGTAAATTCTCTGTTTTGGAACACAGGAAAAATGAGGGCATATCAAGTGCAAATTTATCACTAAGCAATTTGAAAACTGTAATCAAGTCGCCTCTAGTTCTACGATATGACAAAGGGAATAGGTTTAGCTTGGCCAGTCGAGCATCATACGGAAGCTTCGCTATCACGGGAATCAGATTAGTTGCTGTTCTCTGGGCCTTTTCCAAAAGCTCACTGTCTTTTTTTAAGCAGGGGCTAGCCGCTTGTATGCAGTACTCAAGTTTAGGACGTACGAACACTGTATACAAAGTCAAAAACGTTTTAGCGTCGACATGAGTAAAAGCCCTACGTATTGACCATAAAGTTCTAAAAGCTTTTTCGGCTATTGCACGGCATTGTGCAGTAGTCTTCAGATCTTGGCTAACGATGACTCCTAAGACATTATGTGTCTGGACAACAGGTAGATCAGTGTTATTCATCGTGTATTTATCTGAACCTTGATGACCGATATGCATCACAACACACTTGGAAGTATTTATCGGCAGCTGCCATGTATGAGACCATTCGGATAATTTCTTCAGGTCATTTTGGAGTTCTAAGCTATCACCCTTACATCGTATCGTTCTCCATATCTTGACATCGTCAGCATATAGCAAGACCGATGATGATAGTAAGCGAGGAAGGTCATTTACATACAAGAGGAATAGCACTGGCCCCAAAACTGTACCCTGGGGCACTCCACTAAGCACAGTTTCCCAGCTAGATAATTTTGAGTTTACCCGTACTCTTTGTTGGCATCCAACAAGGAAGTCTTCTATTCACGTCAATAGATTGCCTCCAATTCCGACATTTTTTAGCTTATATAACGGCCGGTTGTGCGGAACCTTGTCAAAAGCTATGCTGAAATCAATGTAAGCCACGTCTACATGTAACTTTTGGTCCTTAAAAGCGCACCAGATTTCTCAAGTGACTAATAAGTTAGTGAGACAAGAATAACCTATTCTGAAACCGTGCTGTTTCTCCGAAAGGATCCGGTTTACATCGAGGTACTTAAATAGCTCTTTTCGAATAATCTTTTCTAAGATTTTAACAACCACACTAGTTAGGCTAACGGGTCGGTAATTCTCAGGTTTATGTTTCGTACCTGTTTTGAAGACAGGACTTACTATGGCGTTCTTCCAGTCTTTTGGTAAACGACCCTGCGTAACGGATAGCTTAAAGCATATAATAAAGGGTTCGCAACGAAGTTAGATAATCCCTTTAGTAGCCTAGGATGCAATTCATCGGGCCCCATGGATTTACCTATGTCAAGCTTATTTAGCAGATCAAAGACATCGAGTTCATTTATGGTCACGCTATCCAGTGTGTTTGTGGGGGTTTGTATGCGCTGACGGGAAGGGTGCTTCTATGGTATATATAGTTTGAGAACACTTGAGCCTTACCAAAGTCATCTTCCACTAATGATGCGGCAGTACTGTCTCCCCATAGTGCAGGAATAATTCCTCTTTTTGTCCTTTGGCTTATATAGGAATACAGGCGTTTAGGTCATTCTATGGATTCCTTAACAATTTTTTCTTCGTACAGCTTTCTAGACTTACGGAGGGTCGAGACACAGGTATTCCTAGCTTTTCGGTACTGAGATTTTGTCTCATCAGTCCCCAGTAATCTAAATCTATCCCACACTTTTCTTCTCTTACGGAGAAGGATGCGGACCTCCCTAATGAACCATGGTGGGGTTTCTCGGCCCCCTTGGTATAGTCCAAGGAATGTGGGGTGCGGTAACGTTTAAGTATAAATTTCGGAATGCATCCCAAGCCGTTTCAATTGAGGACTCTGGGTCTATTGTCCCATCTACTAATGATGCCGAGTGCATGATATCTGGTATGCTTGCTTTCCAGACGTTAGGTCTGGATTGAGTTGACGCTTGCTCGTGATTGACAGTTATATGGAAGTCAAAAGTTAAAACTGCATGATCACTTTTACCTAGGGGTGGCATGTAAAGGAGGTTCGCAACGTCATCCTCATAGTGAGTTAATATAAGATCTAGTAAGGATGATTCAGTGTCCGGGTCGTACCTAGTCGCTTCTTTCACATGTTGCACTAGGGCACATGTTATAACCGCATAAATTGGTTCCTGCTCGAAGGAATTATCTGATGATTCGGTTCGCAGATTTCCCCAGTCTACCATAGGTGCATTAAAGTCCCGTAGTATTAGACATCGACCACTTCGCGACCAATTTTTGAGCCTGTTTAACAGGACATCATTTACCTCACAGCTTGGACTGAGATAGACCAAATCAATTAGCAGCTCTTGCCCCTTGAATTTCAAGCGGCAACTAACCAATTCACACGTCCCACTTTCATGGGATACACTATCAATAATGACAAATGGGATAGCATTCTTAATTAATAGAGCCACTCCCCCTCCTTTTCGCTTATGTATTCTGTCGGTCCTTACTAAAGTAAAACCCTCAAAATCGAGTTCCATATTATCTATAGACTGTGTCAGCCAGGTTTCTGTGACTGCGATTATGTCTGGCTCTGTAGAGTCAATCTGTTCACCCAGTTCCGATAGCTTATTGAGCAAGCTTCGGGCATTAGTGTAACAGATCCGTAGCCTATTTAAGTGGCTTCGTGTTTCACCCAGAGTGGCTTCGCCATAATTCTCTGACGAAGCCTCACAACCCGAAAATTTACAATTTTCAGGTCCTTTTCGCTAGCGTCTAACCTAATTTGTACTTGTTTTTCGGCTTCCCGTCTTTTTAAACGGTCTGCCAACGGCAAGTCCTTTCGGATAAAAACTCCCGAACCCTTTAATTTATGTCCATTCAAAAAAATAAGTCCCTTTCATTCGAAGATTTGAAAACTACTTTAAGCAGTTTAGATTGATTAGGCTTCAAGTTCGCTAAACTACCTAGTCTATACACCTTTAGCAAGGTGACTCCGGAGATATTTTGAGGCATGAGTTGATTAAGTAGCTGTTTTATCAGGACAATCTCATGCTCAAAACGAGTTTTTGGTTCGGAGCTTTCGCTCTCCTTGATCCTATGAAAAATGACTGATCTGTTACTGTGATCAGCCTTCGATTTTTCGACTACTAGTACTGTTAGAAAGTGACGTGTTAGAACATGACTTAGAATCGAAACAAATAGCACTTCTAGTGTAGTTTTCTGTTAATGTTTCATAAAAACGTAAAACTTACTTAACGGAAAGTTCTCTCTAGTTGCATTTTGACTGCACTGTTTCTCACAATATATGCTACCCTCATTTACTCGTATCTATCCACTTATATATTTTTAATACGGTCTTCCTACTTACTCTTTTTATCACAATTGTTTCCATAATTGTATGACTCAAGTGTGCTTCATTTTCAGTGTTATCTATACTTTTTTGTGGCATGTTCTATCTTTTGGTACCAGATTTTGTTTGAGTCAATTAAAAACCGATTAGATTATGATTAATTTGGTAAATATCCCATAAAAGTTGATAATTTTTTTTGTTTCCATGTAAACAAACGGTGAGCTCTGAGTATCTGAGTTCGTCACTCCAGTGTTTTTCTAACGGATCACCATTTGTTTCATTTTATTTTATACTAATACGAATTAAGTCGTTTGAATAACTCTCACTTTATTAACGTCTATCATTTCAAGATAACAGTTTTGTGTTTTCTTCCGACCTTTGCACAGCATCTTGTGGTAAATACATCAGTAAACCAAATTATTTTCTACCTATACTTATTTGAAACTCTGGCAACAATTTAAGTCTCTTTCTTATGCTTACATGGGTGAGTTCAATTCATTTTATCATAATCATTGCAATAATATTATTTTACAGGGTGCAAACAGCCATGGTCAGCTGGGTACAGGAGATGATAAAGATGCTTATGAACCTAAAATCATTAATTTCACTGATCCGATAGCCCTAATCTCTGGAGGTGGTGGTCACTCTCTGATTTCTGACGGTAAATGAAAAACAAAGTAATATTATATGCTAAGAAAACAATATATTCAGCTGTGGTTTGAATTCTGTTGGTCAGCTGGGTCGTTCAAATGACTGCAACCACTTTAAAATTATTCCGTTTTCTTTCGCATCAACTGTTAATAAAGTATCGTGTGGCTGGGATTTTTCTGTTGCAGTACTAAGTGATGGATCTGTTTTCTCATGGGGCTCAAATGAATATGGACAGTTGGGTAAAGAAAGTATCCATTCAAGCATAATTCCTGTAAGTTTCTATCGGGTAATTATGATGCGAATTTAGGTTCGTGTTGATATAGAGCCTGTTAGATCTATATCTGCAGGTCTAAGGCATGTCGTTTCTGTGACAAGTGACTTTTGTTTTCTTTTAAGCAAGTTATTTTTCAGTCTCCGGAAAACTGTTTGGTTGGGGTTCTAATCGCCGAAATCAATTATTCGTTGATAAAGTGTTGATTAAAGCTGAGCATTATGATGAATCGAAGCAAATATGTTACCGTCCCACTCTATTGAACTCTGTATTAGGTGATACACATGAGTGGGTCGATTGTGCATCTGGTGCGTATCATTCAATTGCGAAAACAAGTATGTCATAAGCTCCTGTAAGTGTAATCTTTTTTATCTATAGGTTTAATAGGAATTTATAATTTTTTCATTTTTAGGAACAAATAAACTGGCTCTTTTTGGAGATATTAGATTTTTTAAACTCAAATCAGAAGTTCATGGTTTTTCTCCGAATATCAAAAATAGACTTTCATCTCCTATTTGGTATGATGCCGAATTATTCGATAACAATGAAATAGAACAAGTGGTGTGTGGATGGAGTCATGTTCTCGTTAGAACTAGTAAGTAACACCTATTAGTAAGAGTGATTGTATGTATTTTTTTACTCATCTAACTGAAAAATATTTCGCAAAAGTAAGTGCTGTGCTACAGGAAACTCAAAAAAGCCAATTAATTAAAACTTACACATCTCATTAAGTACCCGAGTAATATTGAGAGAGATACAATGATAGAAAATAATTTACTAAAAACATTGTTATGCATACGTAAGAAGTTAATAATAATGCTCAGTTTTTCTCTTGTATACTTAAAAACACTTGTAAAGTAGTAATAATAATAATTGCTTTATTTAGTATTGTATGTGGGAATATGGCTTTATAATGTTGTGTGCAGAATATACCAACAGCTAACTCTTGTACTGCAGTCAAGTCATTTGCACATAGTGTATGTGTGCATCAATCCAAGTGGCCGCACCACATCAGCGCAACAAGATAAAATTATCAGTGCAATAGTAATATCATCAGTGGTGATAAAAAACAGCCATAAAAATATAATTCGAGAAAAAAGGAGTTAACCTGCGGATTAGACTATATAAGGTATTTTTGAGGGAGTAAATCCTGAGCCATATCATTCAATGTCTCTAACCACTGGTCATAGTTATTGTGCAAACACTAATCAAGATACCTCGCATCTATCAACAATGTTTAGTTCAACAGTTAGTGACTTTATGAATTGATTTGCTGTTATGATTTGGTCTCCTCTTATGGCACTACATTTGTTTGTGAAAATAAAAACACAAAACAAGTCATGTGATCATAATTTGAATTAACAGACATAAATTCAGAATAGACACGAGTCTGGATTAATCTTACGTCTCATGAGTTGGTGGCTTGTTTTATTTTGGAGCGGTCACATTACACCATTCACATTTTTCATTTAAATTCTAGTTTAATTTCCATATGTCTTTATATTCATGGATTACCACTAACGGTTGCCTTCTGTTGCACGAAAACGTTATGAGTAAAGCAAAGAGCTTGTGTCTTGTAAAATGGAAGTAGTAGGTCGCCTGTACGAATTTCTGCCTAATTATTATATAATGTTCTCCAGGGATTTGTGCAACATTGCATAAATTCCTCACAAAATTTTAAAGAACAATTAGTATCCAAAACGTCGTCACTTTTAAGGCCGCAATTAATAGTTTAACTTTTGAAATAATCAGTTGTGAAACCATTCATTTTTTGAGCTTGCTTAAAACCCCGTTTTTTATGCAACCTACTTCTCACAGTAACCGTCTAAATTATGAGAAAGCTAAGCTGGTAAACAGTTTTTTAAGAGCAGCAAATAATCAAACAGTTTTGGATACCAAGTGTTAGCAGCAATGGTGTCGCCTTCGTAATAGCTGAGAAATAATAGCAGTCGCTTTATTCAGTATTTTTGTTCAATACAGTAAGGATTCTCACTATAAATTATTTCATAGAGTTTGTCCTACTGTTCCTGTACATCGCAATGTATATATGCAACGAAAAGTCCTTGAGATGTTTTGCAAAAATCTTTAATAGGTTTGTATTTTCAACCACGGAGGTTTATGTTCGGTTCTGCACTTGTCGTTCGTGTATCAAATAACATATTATGGAGTTTTTTTGTTTATCCCTTTGAGTATGAATTTAATGTACTTACATCTACCTGTGCTAAACAATAGATTAAAGACAAATTTGTAAGTAAAGCGAATAGTTCTGTTTAATAAAATGTCATTGGCTAGTTGTTCTCAAGATTTCGAATGACTATCCGCATCCATATTCATGTATAAACCAATAATGAACCACAAGTTTAACAGCCTTTCAACATACATCAAAACCAAGCGTTTAGTTTGTTAGGCAACTTGGTATTATGAATCCAACAGAATTCTTTTTGTAGTCTTTCTTTCTCTCTCTCAATATCTCATGTTTATGTAAAGTAACACGGTTCAATCAGAGTTGAAGATAACATCTGTTATATTTCCGCTTGATTCCTTTGTAAACAAATCAAAGCTTGTGTTTAAAACATTTTTCAGATTCCGGTTTTTATCCCTTGTGTAGTTTGTGTATTCTAATGTCCTCGTCTAATGAAATGAAGTATTTTCAATTTTGCCGTATATTTTGAAGAAAAAACGAAATATACAATAATCGTATGCGCGTTTTACATATTCTTACATCCTTGTGGAAAAATGGGTTCATAGAAACTTCAAAAACGAATAAAGAAAATTATCCCCATAGAATATTCAAAAATGAAGAATATTTGAGCGAACAATTGTTTTCAATAACTAGTCTGAATATTTTAAACCTCTTGCCCCCTTCCTCTAATTTTATTTATTTTCCTTATTATCATTAATTTTGATTATCCCTATCTTAGACTTCACATCTATCATTCCCAATTCGTTGATTGTAGTTACCTTGATAACACCCCTACCCCCTTATTACATATTATATTCACACCACAATCTTATTATTATCTCAATTGACAAGATGAAATTCTGTTACTATGCATTCTATTCACACAATTTTGTTTTTCGATTTTGCTATAATACTATTCTACTTATTTTGATTGAACACTTTACTCCAAATCAGCTTGACCTTTATTGAATGACCTTTCTCATTTGCAAATAATACCATTTTGAAATATATATATATTTAAAATTTCAATCGCTGAGATTATTTCAAATATAATTTATAATGACTTCTTTATACTCGGCGCCCAATATCTGTCAAACTATTCGTTCTAATCTTGACGAATATTCGTATAAATATATCTTAACAGATGCAAAAGTGCACCAATTTTTTAACACATAACATTGTCAAATTTCATTAATACATGCCTTATTTTTGGCCTTTGTAAAATATCACAATAATTATGGACTTATAACTGTAGAGCCTGATGAAGTTATTGAAAACAATTGTTCGCTCAAATATTCTTCATTTTAAAGAAAATTATCATAGCTCCTGTGACTGAAATGTTTAATAAAACTGCAATCAGATGCATTAACATCACTACATAAAAGAAATAGACCAACACAATATTTGATCTATAATATAAAGTCATTTGTCCAGTTTATTGTTCATACCTACCAACAAAATCTACACAACTCTTTGCTCAAACTAGTTGCAGATCTAAAATCAGGAAAATTATTATTTTAATGTTAGTTGCTAGTAAGTAGTTTATTGAAGGATAAAAACAGGATATAAATTGCTTCTTAATTTCGTAAAATACTTTCCTTAATTTTTTTACCTTGTCAATTTGTTTTTTTGATGTTTTCTTCCTTAGTTATCTATTATTACATGTGTTTGACTTGATGATTTCGAATAAATTGAGCATTCGATAAATTGTCAATGATAAAATGATGATATATGTTTAATATCTCAATGGGTAGGAAATGGAATTCCTGGTCTTTCACGACTCAGTGTAACTCGCTTCTCCAGAGAATAAGAATAAATAACAAATTAAATTAACACGAGTTTAAATTGTACAAAAGAACAAGAAAGAATATTTTTACAATCAAAAGATAGGTCTTGTCAAGTCAGTGTCATGTCTTTTTGAGCAAGTTGTTATAAAACATTCCTGTTTATTTATTCATGTGTATGTTAGTGAGTGTTAAAAACTGTAAAATATGTAGTTTAGGTATATAGTTGAATTTGTATCTTAATGAGGTGTAATCAGAATTAGATATGGTTATTTGGATAAATCGTCCAAGTTGGATGGATGTCTAAGCATTCCTTTCTATGGGGCGCAGTAGGATTTAGTACTACATGAAAAACTCCAGCTACTCGCCTTTTCTTATAATTGAGAAAACATTTATAAGTTATTTTCATATTTTTAATATCGGATTGTTGGTTTTTTTAATTTGAGGATCCTCTCATTCTACAAGATTATTAGGTTTTTCTCTGTTGCTTAGATGACTTAGTTTAGAACATAATAATAACTATTGATTTTTCACTGATTTCTCAAAACATATAGTTTTATATGAATGATTAGTAGCTACTACTGGGTGAAAAGCGTTTGTCAATACTCTATGGACTAGCTGGGCATTTCGACTTCAATCTGTAATGTTGAGCTAGCGTTCTTGATTACTGTCCTGTGATATATCCTCGAGTATCATAGAAAGAGGGACAGCCTAACCATAAACCACGCTGGCTAAATATAAATATTCATCAAATATAGATAGATTGTCTTTTATCATCGATTGTCTACAGCATTGATCTCATAAAAAATCCACTACTTTCTTCGATATTATATCTATCAAATTCTTTACCTGAATATCTGTAGTCTACTTAAAACCGTAACCTTTTAATTCTTCGTATAATCATATTAACTATACACTATGTATTACAAGTTTTCATTTATATCTACACATTACATTTTTGGGAGACAGAGGTTATTGAAATCCTGAATAGATGATTTACCTAATTATTATTGATTGGTTGCATTATTTTTTGACACATCTTAAACGAAACTAGTCACAGGTAAGTTATTGTTAGCTCGAGTCACTCACTCTCAACCTTATCTACTTTTATCAATAAAAGCTTATATTTAGTAAACTACTTACTATTGAATACCATCTTTAATAAAATCAAATAAATTATGTCAAAAATACCTATTCAGTACAACCTTATGTACTTGAGTTCGAACTGTAAATTTTGTACAAAGTTTGGTGTGGTTATCCAAACTGATGTCAATGAAGTTGTGTTCAAAATTCTCAAGGAACAAAGGAACTTCTAATAGCGGATGATTGTTATTACCCAACTTCTTTGTAGGGAATGCTCATTTTTATTGTTTAAAGATTTACTAGTTATAGTTTCTTTCATATGATTTCATTTAGTAAAGATGCACTGTCATTTTGACAGATATTTTAATTAATACTGATGAATTAGTGCACTGTTTGTGAATGGTTTTACGGTTACTGTATTATTAATTCTTTCCAAGCCTCTTTGTTAGTTACTTTACTAATTATGCCATCAACTTTTCAACATGAGCTGTAATTTCTTGACATTGTTTTTTTTCATCAAGTCACTTTTCGGCATAATGATTTTAACATATAAATATTTTTATATACGTATTTGTTTAAGAATGTGTTTGCTTTATATTTTCAGGTGTTGGAGAAGTTTATTCGTGGGGTCGATCAGACTTTGGACAGCTTGGACGAACTGCTAACGTATTAAGCAAATTTATGGGAAAATCTAATGAGATTTTCCCGAATTTCGATGCACATCCTGGAAAAGTACATTTCCATTTGGATAATGGTCATGAAGTGACTATAAAATCTGTTGCTTGTGGTTCAGAGCACTCATTGGCTATCGATTCAAATGGACAGTTATGGGTTTGGGGATGGAATGAGCATGGTATGTGTGGTGTTATAACGAAAATTGCAATTCCGACAGAAAAACATTGGACTCAAGAAGAAGCTATTCCTTACATCACACAACCATATCGAATAAATTTCCGATGTTTTAATAAAAATTACAAAGTGAAACATATCGGTTGTGGATACGGTCATTCAATGGCGTATGTAGAATTTGATTCGTAAACGTTGTAGAAATCGTATTGGTTTTTTGTTTGTAATAAAATATGATGAGTTTCTTCTTATATTCACAATGAGTGTACTAACGCATGTGACGTGTGTGTGCTAACGGTTGGTAGCCTACACAATGTTCTCACCTACATCAAATCTCGATTAGTCAGGTCACTTAAAAGATTAACTCAGTACTTTGTATTATTCTGTATTATCAAGGCTTAGGAGCTTAATTCTTCATGTACAAGATACAGGACCGTGACAAGTATAATTATCTACATAACTAGGACTCGGGACATAGAAAGAAGCAAATCGTTTATGGCCATCTAGTTTACTGTACCTAATGGACTGTAAAAGATAAGGCAAAGGTTATTGAGTTGAATAAAAACCCACGATTATAAGAATATAGAATCGTATTTATTGGGAATAACCTCCAAAGTCTTATATTTTCAGTCATTTGCTGCATCTTAATAGAGTCTTATTGCTTTGCTTGTGCTGGTATAAAAAATTGGTAAGCTGTAAAATTTGGGATAAGTAAAAAATAAGTACTTCAAAAAACATGGTTTCCGTCGCAACACACTGAAATCCCAATTACGTATTCAAGTATGAGGCAACGTTGCCGCCCACATTGCATTTATTTAAAATTCAAACGGAATTTATGACCACTTGAATATGAAGACAATGTTTTTCAATTGCTTGAATAATTTAGCTAGACTCTGTTGTAAATTCTTTTGACGATTATGGAAGTTCATACTATCTTTCCTGCCTCTACGATTTACTTCGTCGTCTTGAAAATAAGTCGTGAAGCTCATTTCGTAGACGTCCTGTAAAGTTCGAAAGGGTATCTATTGTCTTATTTATATTTATTTATTTTAACACATAAGTATAGGTACAGGGAGGCACCAAGTACATATGCGCCACACGAATCTCAATTGATTTGTATGAGGGCTGTGATACTGCCCGAGTGCCCAAATCGAAGCAGGTGGTTTTCTTAGGGAGGCACACCCCGAGCCTTCGACCTGAACGTCTGACCCACAAGGCAGTTGAGCATCGTGAGGAGATGCAGTCCCATGGTAGCCGGTGACCAACGATTGGTTCATACGCCATTTGTTCCTTCAGGATACTGGAGCCCATGTGCACCATTGGTTTGGGGTCCGGTTAAAGCGCCGGACATTTGGTTTTCGTCCTCTCATTTTCGTAAACAACACCCTTGGTGCGAGAAGGCAGTGAGTAGGACTTCCCTGGCAGAGGCTATATACGCATGGCCATGTGAGAGCATTTGGAGAGGGAGAGCGGACTCTCCCCACTCTCGACCGTACCAGGGCATTTGGGGGCATCTATTGACTTTGTAAAGATTTGACATGAGATGGCGATAAGTATCACTTCATACGAGCTTTTTTACGCAGAAATGTTTGACGGATATATATATATATATATATATATATATATATATATATATATATATATATAATTTCATCAGACATTTCTATACTAGTCAATGGAATCACAACATTGATGGTACAGAGCAGAAGTTTACAAATGTGTAGGTCACGTTTTTTTTGAATGTTCGAGTATTTTAGGTGCTCTGGACTTCAGTTCCCCCAGATTACGTTGATCTTGTTTGTTGGAGTCTAGGTATTCTCTGGTAGTCAATGATACTAGCATGTTCTACCATGAATGGTCGTGTTATTTTTAGCCGGAAAATCAGATGAGAATGTCAAAGGTTAACACTTAAGTATCCAGTTTCTGGTTGTTCTTCAATGATGCGTCGATTTTTTCCAATTTTGCTGGCTTTATCTGCTTTTGATCATAGTTTAATAGCTCTGCAGGATCCTTCACAAACCACACAAGCGTTGCAAATCATGACGTGTAAAGACACATTCACTGTGCCGTAAACTGCATCGAAGGCACATGTTGACAGAGGTCGAGTTGGAGCACAGTTGGTGTTATCTCACTCATTTAGCACACTTATGTAAACAGTGTATCATGTGGAGAGTTTTGTACGTTTAATGGATACGAAAAGTATCCTAACAATCATCTTAAATGAAGTTCTAGTTTCATGCCTTAAAGTTTTCTTGTCAGCTATCTCACTTCCAACATAAACCTTGTACAGCTAGTAAGATATCTGCACAGTGGAATAAAAGCCCTGAAAAAATGACCGAAACATGACGTCCGTAGACCGTCTAGGACAGGAGATTAGAACCATGTGGTGGTTTGATTTTGTTCGTGAGCTCGCATATTTTTCATGTAGCTTACTGCTTATAAATTTTTTTCATGTTAAGGTTAGAATATGAAGACTCCATAAGTCCTTCTAAATTCTAGACACTAAGTCATAAACAAGTGCCATTGCAATACACTCGTCGTCACTTTACAATACACTATGGATTCCAAGGACTGTGTAATCCCATAAGTTTGCTTTCGTGACTATATCATAACTTTAACTAGTCAAAACTTTAAGGTCATTAAGAGCTTTCGAAAAACTAATTCCTTTAGAGATTATATAGTATTTTATTGTTTGGTGTTTAAAGTTAGCAAACATAGTGAACGAGTTGTGCCTTGTTGAAATGTATTTGATAAGTTTGAGTAAAATAAATTCTGGTGATGAACATTGAGCTCAATTGAATACGACACGACTTAAGTAAGTTATGGAAAGTGTGGTAAGATTGGTAACGAAGGATTTTCTCTTGATTTGGTGAGTGTAGACTACTTATTTGTACCCCTAATGTGTTCGTAACACACAGGTTAGGATTATTTCAGATGCTAAGATTAAAAACTTTGGATATCACATTCTGAGTCACAAAATGCACTACCAAGCCTGATAGTAAAACAGAACTTCACCCTGGCGTGACTGAGAAAAATTTAATCTCATCGAATATTATTGTGAGTAAATTGATAGAGTCAAACGATCCTGATCCCAAAATGAGATACGTACATGATTTGTAAAAGCTCGGAGAATATGTCACCAGATAACTCTGAGAGAATTCAGGTCAAAAATTGATGATGATAATAATAAGTAAAAATACCGACGACAGTGTTGAGCCCCTACAATTTAAACTCCTCAAGATAATCTTACGGTTAGAGAAGTGACGTGATATTCTGTTAAGTAGCACTTGTAATAAGGACAATACCGAAATTCGAGTAAGACCGGTATATATCTTGAATATGAAATAAAAACGAAGACGGCACTAGCTAGACTAGAAACCCGTCGACAAAATGATGAGGGAAATCTCCGGTTGGTGGGTTTTCGAGTAGTCAGGTCTTCGAGAGCGAATGCTACTAAGCTTTGTGTGGTTGGGTCGTTTTTCCGATGCTCGTAGTCTAATCAATAAATTCTATGATCTGAGAGCATTAGTGGACAAATTAAGGTCACTCATTGAGGCAGTGACGAAAACTTGGTTAGTCTGTGACTTCTGAATTATCCGGATACCACTACCTAACAAGTGATGAAAATAGATGTAGGAAATGTGGTGGCAACATTTTATACACAGACAATAATATAAATATCCGTCCCTTTGCTTACGAATCCCATGATAGTGGAACTTGTGAAGTCATTAACTGGGTTCATTATCGGATGTTGTACATTTATGCTCGGTGTCATCTATCGCAGCACAATCTGCTTAGCTGATGACTTTATTTTAGGTAACACTCGGCGATTGATTGCAAATAACGGATGTCTAACACTAGGAGATTTTAATGCACCTGATAATAGTTGGACTGAGATGGCCTCGGTACGATCTATAAACTCCTTTGATGATAGATTCCTGATAACGGTAATGGAGTATGCATTAGTACAACATGTATCAAAAACTTTGCATTTTGGTGCAGACCAAGGTTATTCTTCGTTGGACTTGGTAATCGCCCATGTGGCCAACCTAAATATTCTTCCACTATTAGTGAATAGCGATCACGCTGTTTTGTCATTCACGTTTAGGGCTAGTGACATGATATACGATCAGGATAAGGCTCTCGCAAAAGTCAGGAGAGCTAAAATATCAGCCATCCAGGAGTGCGTTGCGAAGACAGAATGGTCAATAGATACTAACTCATTAGTTGAAGAAGCATGGTCGATATTTATAGGCAAGTTTAGTTTAATTACGTTTCTGTTCATACCATACCTCGTACCACATAGACCGAATAGCAGTCTACTATGGATGACTAAACAAGTCCAGAAACTTTCTAGACGTAGGAAATAACTTTGGAATATGTTCGTCTTTACAGGCTTAGAACAGTAGAGATACAATCATTTTGAGATCATGAATGCCTGTAAAGCTTTAATAAATAAGATCAGACGGTCATATGAAAAACAATTGGTTAGGGATCGTAAAAACAGTACGAAACTGTTATTCTCATATATAAAAAGCCGAACTCAGAAAAGAGATGTGATTCTGTCACTTTTGATACGAGGAAATGCGTTGATATTGGCGAGAGATAATGCCGAAAAACTGAAGCTTTATTAGAAAGTTTCAGTAAAGTGTGTTCTATCAGTCATGGAGAACGAAAAACGATTCTAGTGATTGTGGTGGCTTGTTGATGGACCATGTATTTATTGAGAAAGGTGCTGTTTTAAGATTACTTCATTTCAAACCTGATAAGTCCAGTGGTCCTGATGATATTCATTATAGAATTATGAAAGCCCTATCAAATGTAATTGCTGAACATTCAGAGATACTGTTTGATATGTCACTGAAGCAGTCCACACTGCCCGAGACAAAAAAGACGCGATATTTAGTCCGTGTATAAGGCTGGGAGTAGATATTTAGCTAGTAATAATCGACCCGTTAGTCTTACCAGTGCAGTTGTCAAACTAATGGAAAATATTAATCAGATAAGTCTTTTAAGCTATGTGGAAGGGAATAATGTATTATTGCGGGACAACATAGTTTTCGAAAAAGCCTATCATGTTTGACAAATCTGCTGATTGCAGGAGAAGATTGGGCTACAGCAAAATATTGAAATATTCCTGTAAATGTAATTTTCATGTAAATGAATTACC